CCTCATTTACTTTTGTCTCTGATGTTGCTGCTCATAGCTGAAGAGACCAACAGTAGCTGACACCATCTCCTCTGCTCTCCCCTGGGTCTGTGCCGAGACTCCTGCTGAAAAATCATTTCTTTTCATGCAGAAAAGAGCCAAGCAGGGCCTGGGTTTGGGGACCAGAGCCTGCCTTCACTGACTGCATAGGTCAGCTTTGGCCAGGGCCAAAGTTTGGGACATTTGGGATCTTGGGAGTTTCCAAAGCTGCTGGGACAAGACCTGAGGCCAAGTTGCTTGCCTGGTGTTTCTGCACCATCCATTGAATTTTTGCAGCATGTGCAAAAAAAATTCACAGCAAACATTTTGAAAAGTGCATCGACCGTCAAACCACAAACTCCCTGCTGCCTGGGTCCCTGCTGTGTTTGGGCTGCTGCTTAATCCCTTGCAAACAGCTTTATTGAGGTAGTAATAACAAAGTAATAAAAAAGAGGCTTGTTTCCCTTGAGGCTGCCTTTACTCCAGACTTTGCTGTGAATCCAAGGCAGTCTACCATGCCAGAGTCCTATGTGCACTCTGCCTGACTGGGGGAGGAAAAATAGCAGGTGAGCCCTGCCATAATTTTATATTTTGGTATCTTTAATGTCCTGGCCCCTCTGCCAAGAGCTTCACGGATCCACTGCTGTGCCTGTTAACCCCTTGTGTTTACCCTTGTCTGCACTCCCTGCAGGGAGGCCTCAGCGTTTGGGGTTACCTCCTGTTCCTCTTAGCACTCAGTTTTTCACTCTGCCCTGTCACAAAATCCACAAACAGCTGAGGCTGCCTGGCTTCCTGCAGTGTCTTTTGAGATGGGAAATTCCCAAGCCTGCAACAATTTCACTTGGTCACGGGCAGCCTGTGGATCAGGGAGGGGCAGCACCCTTTGGTCACGGGCTGGCTGAAGGAGGGTGAGGAACAGCTGCATGCTCAGGCAACAAGGTTTTGTTGTGGGGTTTTTTCCAAAATAGCTTTCAATTCTTCCTATTTTCCTCCTTCTTTGTACCCTGCTTTTCCCTTGGCACAGCTGGCTTCTCCATCCCTGGGGCCTGCCAGATATTAGTGCATGGACAACGAGACGGAGCCACACTCCAACGCATCCCTATCCCACCCTGGATAAAGGGGGAAAGCACTGGTCCCCACTGAGCTGTCTCCAGCCAGGTCTGGATGCTGGGCAGGCAGCACACAGTGGCTGTCATGGTGGGGGCACAGCTTGTGCAGGGAGGCAGGAGCTGAGCACAGGGAGGAGAACACCTGCATGGGCTTTGTGCCACATGGCTGGGCTGGAGAAGGCTCTTCCTTCGAGCCACAGCCAGCTGTGGGGAGAGTTTAAGCCCTTTGTATTCCTGAGTACCAACAACATAAGCAGTCAAGGGTTTTCCCAGGTCTGTTCTTGCAAAGAGATTTTTCACTTCATTTACCCATGAGACAGATTTAGTGTTGCAAACTGTCAATCTAAAAGCCAGGAAGTCTGGCTCTAGAACACAGGGGTTTGCTCCTTGTGCCTGAATACCCCCAGCCCTGCTCTCCCATCTCTGTGCTGCTTTCAGGAGCTGTGCTATAACAGGGGCATCCATGCTGCAGCCTCTCTCCCCTGCCTGGAAGGATGGATGTGTTTTCTCCACCAAAAGATGAACCTCCTGTTGAATGACATATCCAAGACTGGGCCTTTAGGTAAAGTAGCAGTTGAGCAATTAAACCAGAGATAGTTGCCAAAACTCCCTGGCACATCCGACATCACCTGTAGCACTGGGTTCACCAAGCTGCAGGAGACAGTTTCCAGCAGATGCTGCCAGGATTTATTTCCTGGCTTTATTAAAATTTATTTCCAGGTGTTATTAAAGCCTGGCTTTGTGGGGTGGGTGTAAACCACCTGCTCCAGCCTTGAGAAGTGGCACAGGTCCCTCCCTCCTGTGCTCCACGCTGAGCTGTGCTGGATGTGCACCAGGCTGCTGTGGTGAGCAAGCAGCGCCTCAGCAAGCCCCTGGACAAGCCCCTGGAGAAGCCCCTGGACAAGGGGGTGCCACACACCAGGCAGAGGGTGGCTCCAGGTGCCAGGGCTCTCAGCCTTTCAGCACCAGCTCATTCCAAGCTGTTAAAAGCACAGGCTGCACTTGCAAGTGGGGCTGCCTGGGGACCTCCATGGACAGGCAGTGTGCTGGGCCCTGGGACACCAAGCCCTTCCTCCCACTCCCCAGTCCAGGATGATGCTCCCATGTTTCCTTTGCCTTGTTAACCCTCTTTGCACCCTTTTTTTCTCAAAGTCCCTGCTGACAAGCCCTCAAGCCCAAAGAAGTCTCCTGAAAAAAATATTTCTTTTCCCTGAATTATCCTCTGAAAATCAAAGTGGGGAATGTGATTTTGCCTGTGTTTTCATTCTTTGGGGCAGACAGAGCTCACTGTTACTCCCTCTCTTTGGGGGATCTGAGAAAACAGGTCATCACCCCAAAATGAACCATGTCCAGCAAGGTGCACACCTGTGAGCATCGAGCTTGTCCTTTAAGGAATCCTGGATTACTCCTATGCACTGCTGTCCCCAGTCTCTGCTGGGGACTGTGCTCCTCACAGTGAGCCATGGACTGAGGGTGCTGTGCCTGTGCCAGGGATGCCAAAATTGAGGCACAGGGCAGCACCTGCCTTTGCCCCCCACAGCATGGCCCCCAAATGCAGATGTGTGAGACCTCCCTTGCTGGGAGGAAAGGGAAATGCAGCGGCCTCTGTGACCAAGGGAAGGACTGCTGCTGTCTAGACAAAGTGACTAAGGAGGGAAGGGGCCAACTGTTTGTACAGCTTTGGGAAGTGTAAACAGCGCCCACTGTCCCAAGCCCTTCAAAGCAGAGGAATCCGGAGATGGGATGAAAGCACAGGGAAATTCTGGCCGGGCGTCCTAGCAGAGCAGCTCAAGAGAAGGGGACCTCTCCAAGACAAAAATCCCAGCACCTGAGTCATTTCAAACCAGCCCAAGAGAGGAAGGAGGAGCACAGCATGGCTGGCCATGGGCAGGGCTGTGCATGGGCTCTCAGGACTTTCCCAGCTTTGGTTGCTTCTCTCTGCAATCTCAGAACAAGTGTCCTGAAAAGGAAACTGGAGGCCCTGGAAATCCTGCTGTGCCCTGCAGTGAGCTGGTTTGGCCTCTGCTTTTCATTCAGCTCACAAAAGAAAGAGAAAATGCTGTTCAAGAGGTGATTTCCTTATTTTTTTTTTTTTTTTTTACAACTTTAAATACAGTACTGAGTATAAATTAATCTTACATTTAAAAAAAGGCAAAAATTTTAAAATAAAATAAAACAAAACCTCACCATATTTACAAACCAAAAGAAACAGATTTTGGAGCAGGGTAAGAAAGTGTCTTAAGACTTGAGGGCTTGGGGCTGGAGGGAGGGAGCAACGTGCTGCCTTGGCAGTGGTGTGAGAAGTGCTCTGGGCTTGCAGGAGGTGAGGACTGGCTCCCTCCACAACTTGTAATAGCTCCCAGGCTGTGGCTTTGGCTCCTTTCCCCATCTCCCTCCAAAGCTCTGCCCCATAGCAGGAGTGTGTGTGCGAGGGGAGAAGTGCCATGTGATTGCTCTGGGCAGGCATTTTCTTCATGTAGGCAGCACCCAGCACAGCACAACCCAAGACCCTGACTCCAAGGCCATGCTGGGAATTCCCATCATGTGGAACAATTCTGCTAATGGTTACTATTACCTGTGCAAAACCAGCCCTTGCCCACACAGTCCTCCTCCCTGCTCGAAGACAGGCAGTGGCCCAGGAGGAACTCTGCAACTGACCCTCCAGTGGTTCTCTGAGTCCTCCTCACTTAGAAGAGCTCATTTCTGTCTCAGACGGCTGCTGCCAGCTGTGAACACCATCCTCATTACTTTCTCTATACCTACACAGAGCTGTCCACATTGTGGATCAACTTCCAAGCTAAGTGGGTTGGGAACATTGGCAGGGAAAGATTAGTGGAGGCATAGAGTGCAGGACATCCAGGGAGGGGTTAAAGACCTCATGGGAATGACATGATTCTGCTTTCAAGACCACAGAGCAGGCAAGGACAGCTCACTGAGATTAAGTCATGCTTCTAAGTTTGGCTGTCCTTGGTCTTGTTGTGGTGCCACTTCACCTCCTGCAAGGAAGTTGTGCTGGGATGGGGGGTTGGTGCAGAGTGAGAGAAAAGGATAACAAGAAAGAGAGAGACCAGATGATGCCTCTGCCTGCCCTGTCCCTGTCCCTGGCCTCGCAGGCATGTTGCAGTAACAGTGTGCTTTTCTGCCAGCCCAGCGAAGCCGATGCACCCACGGGCCTCTGAGCTTCCTGCCACTGGGGAATGAAACCCATTTAAGAACATATATATATATATTTTTATATATGTATGTATAAATACACATACACACGCACACACATGCACACGTATATATCTATATATACACACACACATATACACACGCACACATCCAGAGTGAATTTAAAAAATAATTTGAGTCCGAGCCTGGAAAGTTGAATTCTCCACCAGCATGTGCAAAGATGGCTCTCCTTGGCAGGGGCCGGGGGCGAGGAGACGATTCTGCCACCTTGTGCTCCTTCCCCAGGATCCAAACACCTTCCAGTCAGCACCAGGAGCAGGGGAAAGAGGGAGTGGGGGAATGCATTTGGCTTCTTTGTTTTGTTTCTTTGCTTGTTTGTTCTGTTCCCCGAGATGTTGAATACCTTAGTGGTTTTGGTTTTTCTTTTTAAAAATAAAATATACACACGCACGTTAAAAATATAGATCTGTCCAGGTAGGGCGATGAACGTCCTTAGTGCATTTTCCATCATTGGTCGCCGCTCGCAGTCTGAGATTTGCCTGCTGCCAAAAGGTAGGTCCAACGCAAGAGTAGATCTCAGCTGGGCCCTCCCAGCCTTACCAGAAGCATGAGGGAAAGTGAGAATATTCCCCTTCTGGCCTCTGTCCATCTGTTTTTCTCCTTTTCTCGGAAGAAATTGGACCTGCTTTCCTTTTCACATTTTCCATCCTGTCCTTCGTAGCAGGGAAGGAATTGTCCTGTTCTCATCGCAAGCTGTGGCTGTTGGCATTCATGGTTTTATTTGTACTTTGTTCTTTTCTCATATATATATATGTAGGACATCCTTGTCCTTTTGTGTGTGTGTGTGTTAAACTTTAAAATTATGCTAATAAATGAAAGGGAGGCTTTGGTGGGAGAAGGTCCACTGATGGAAAGGGAAGCACCAATTGCCGTCTGAATCAGACGTCGAGGCAGATGGACAAAGAGGAAAAGTTATCATTCCAAGGACCCCATGGGGGCTATACAGCAAATATATTAAATAAACCTGGAAGTGAAACAAAACCAGACACAGCATTAGAAAATGTAACCTTTTGCCCCCTGCAACTCCCCTCCTATCCCCTTTTCTCCTCTGGAAATATTTATGCCAAAGAGCCAGATTAGGAGGAGGACTTTTGACCTCCTCTATTTTTCACCCCTGAACATCTTGAGCCAGAGCTGAGATTTGCATGGGTTTGCATCATTTCTACCCTGGGAACTTTAGGCTGGCCAGGAGAATCCTGGGACAATCAGAGCCCTAGTAGTGCTAAGCGTGGGAATCCCAGTCTCAAGACACTGCTCGGTGCCCCTTGTCCCCAGCTCCTGAAATGCCACACACGGAAGCCTGCTGTCCCCTGTCCCGGGGTGAGGGGAAGTGAATGTGAAGTGGTGGCCCAGGCTTATTCAAGTGGCTGTAGCAGAGCTGGAACTGCTGAGCTGTGGGCCAGGGCTCTCCCTGTTAAGCTGTGTCACAATCCAGCCCCCACCATTCTGCACCCCGACTACTCTTTCCTCTTTTCTGCATCTCTTCCTCTCATGAGGAACCAAGGCTTAGCCTCCTTTTGCTTGTACCAGTGAAATTCTTCTGGTGATGAGGGAATTACTCCTGTTTACACAAGTCATGGAGAGAAGAATCAGACCCTGGCCTGACAAAGTCCAGATCTCTTGCCAGAGATTCCAGTTCTCCTTTTCCCTGGTATGACCTTTCTCATGAACACAGGCCTCCCTATAGGAGAGTGATGAACCAAAAGTGTTGCTGCTTTTCAGTCTTTCTGCCAACTCAAGTAAGGAAATAAAAGGAAAAGGGCTCCCTAGAGCACCATTAATTCTCTGTTTTCAATGGAGAACCAATAGAGAAACTAGAACAGGAGTTGCTCCACAGAAGAGATGAATTATCTGGACCCTGAGGGATTTAGGTGTAGGGAGAAGCCAGGCTTGTTCTCTGCCTGAAAGGGAGGCAGAGAAAGGAGAGGGCGGGGCCTGAGAGCAAGGATGGCTGCAGCATGATCATTCCAACTTTGCAAAGAGCCTTAATTCCATAAATAGAATGCACATCTTGGCACCCAACCTAGTTCTGCCTCCTCCTTCAGCCCAGGTTTTGTCCTGCAGCAGCCCCACACAGAACAAGTGGCCAGCGCTGTGGGAAGGGTCTGAGATGCCATGTCCCAGGAGGACACCTCTCCTGGATGGAAAAGCAGCTCACTGTTACCTGCCTTGTGCTCTCTCTCCCCGGCCAGCACTTCTATGCTATGAGGATTTCTTTCAGCACTTTCTTATCGTTGACATGCTTGTACTTCTTATGTTTCCTCTTCTGTGCCGGCGGCCGGCGTACTCGCCGCCTCTGTGAGACAGCGGCTGTGGTGAACGCCGGGGACAAGCCTGCCAAAACAGAGGGGAGAGTGTCTGTACAGCCAGGGGCAGACGGCTCCTGTTGAAATATCCTTCTCCACACACTGTCAACAAAGAGCTCTGCAACAGCAGGACCACAAGGCCTCTTTCTGTTCTTCTGTTCCTTGTCCTCTGTTCTCCACAATCTCTGCCCTCTCCCTTTTCCCACCATGCCCTTCCCCTCACCTCTCACCTTCCCCTCCTCCTTTCCCCTCTGTTTCAGCCCCTTCCAGGCAGGCAGACACCCTGGGAAAGGTCTCTCAGCTGGTATAAACCAGCAAAGGCCCTTGGGATTCACTGGAGCTAAGCAGATTGCAAGCAGTGGAGGTCTCTTTTCTCTCTCCCCTGCCCCTCTTCTCACACCTCCCTTCATTCTGCAATGCCAAGATCCTTACGTCTCTGTTCCCGTGGCCCTGGACGGATGTTCCTGGGGGGCGGTCGGAACACAGCTTCACACCGACACTGCACGTGGTCCTCCAAAGGCACAATGACTTTTGTGAATTTTGGCTTCCTCTGGACAAACTCGATCTTGTTCACCTATTTGCAAGAGGAAGACAAGCAAAAGTTTAGTACAGCCACGGCTCCCACTCTGTAAAATTAGGCAGTGTCAGTGCACTTTACTCCTGGCTTTCTTCCTAAAGGGTCAGAAGGTTGCTCAGAGAGCCCTGTTCAAGCTCAAAACTCAAACTCAAAACTCAAACTCAGACTCAGAGGTGGTGTATATGGGAGATAATTCTGAACGTGGCAGCAGAACAGACCCAGACCAGGCAAGTTTGGATGTCTCTGGTTGGTTCCCCTGATCCTAACCATTGCCAGGGATTAAGCAGGATGACTGGTTGATCAGAGACAGAACATGGAACATGCAGGACATGCCAGCATATTTTTGACAGATGCAATGGCGGAGACCTGGGGCAACCAGGATAATTCCCACACAACCTACAGGAAGGGCAAAAGGAGAAGAACTCAGGTCTGAAGCAAGCTAACACAGCCTCACCAGCCCTGCTGAGGCCTGCCTGAATTTGTCTCAAGCTCTTTAATAACTCGCAGGGCTGAAGCCCTCGGCTCTTCATAGGAAAGGCGGCGCTCTGGAAATTCCCCCGGACTCTCCACCAGTGCTGACTCAGAGGGAAGACTCATTGCTCCACATCCCACCACAGGGCACAAGCTTTCTAGGGGGTCCTCCCACTCCATCAGCAGCCAGGCCTGACCCCACTCAGCTTATCTAACAACTCTGCGGTGCCTGAAGTGCTCCACAAGCTATAAATACTCACTCTGCTGTCATCTGGGATGGAATTCCTCTAAACCCACTGCCCCCAGCAGCATCCCTCAGCCAGCGCCAAAGCAGCCAGGCTGTTTATCTTTCCTTGAAAGCCCACTCCACACGCTTCAGACCACACGCTGCCTGCTAGACAAACACTTCCAGCCAAACAATAGAGAGACCTCTGTCCTCAAAGAAACCATTTCCAGGTCACTTTTTCAGGCTGGCTTTTGACCTCTCACTTGTTTTTTTCCAGAAAAACAACTCCTGCTCCCCCCCATTTTTTCCTCATTCAGCCTGGCTTTTCTGAGAAAGGAATTTCCTGATGAAAAGGGCTGTGTGTGAATACAATCTCTCCCAGCCAACCTCTGCTGCCTGCCTGGGGGAGTCTCTTATGGCTCAGGCAGAGGATTAGTATGGGATGAATATTATTTTTAAACAAGCTGTCTAGGAGGAAGCTGTGAGGAGATCACTGGTAGCTGTGAGGGGAGGATCAGAGCAAGAGGTTAGCTGTCAGGTGTCTGCTGGCTGATGGAGCAGATCAGGAGGTAACTGTGGGCTGAGAAAGAGAAGCTGTTCCAGTGCACATCTTAGAAAGAAGCTGCAGCAGCAGTGGGGGGATGGAGACTGACACTGCAAACCCTCCTCTTTTCGCACCCAAACCAGTCCCCACGATGAAAGCACCCTGTTTCTTCTGCTCTAACACAGCAGACAAGGCCGCCTTGAGCTGCAGGAAGGGCCGTGGCATGGAGCTGCAGATGGGGACAGTGCCCTGCAGCTCTGCCTGGGGACAGTCCCCAGCTGCTGGACAGCACCAGCCCTTCCAACATCTGGCACGGAGATCACCCACACTTCTGCACGGCCACACAGAGGACACAGATGGCCGCATGAGCCCAGCCCAGATGGCTTTGGGGCACAGGGGTGGCTCTGGGCGGCAGCGGGGAGCGGCGGGTGCCTCACCTGGACGGGCCGGACGCGGATCTGCGTGGGGCGGCACTGCACGTTGCGGTTGTTGCAGCAGCCAGAGCAGCGCTGCACCTCCACGCAGGGCGGCCACACCACAAAGTTGGCGTTGGTGCTGTCCACCATGGCGCGGGAGATTTCGAACACCACCTCCCGTGTCTTGCACTCGGCCAGGACAGCCGTCTCTGCTGCTGCCAGAGCATCTACGGAGGGACAAGAGAGAAACAGGGTGAAATGGGCTTTGCAGCTGCCACCACCCCGCCACAGCCACCTCTGCTGCAATGAAGGGCCCCACATGGCTCTCACGGGCACAAGCACACACCAATGTTCTTTCTCTTTCTCCCACCCCTCTGGCTCTCTCCCTGTACAGAGCCATGCCCTGTGGAGGAAGCCCCAGTACAGTGATGCTTCTCACTGCAGCCCAGACAGCAGGTGACGCTTTAGGGCAAAGAAGCACCATCAGGATTTAAGAGAGAGCAGTGCACAGAAGTCCAGACTCCCTCTCCTGCCCTCCCAGGGTGAAATACCCTGCTCCCACTCCAGGCCCAGACTCTCATTTTTATGTCTCCACACACACAGGTGCACTATAACCTCCACCCCTACATCTGTATGTCAGACAGATACCTGGAGCACCCGTAGCTGCTCACCCATGGCTGCTCCCCAACAACCACAAGGTGCAAGACCCCCAGCTCACCTAGGCTTCGTCGCTCTCGAGACAGGGCCACAGGGCTTTGATCAGGCTGAGATGCATTCAGGCTCAGGCTCGAGCTGTCCTGCTCTGCAGAGAGGAAGACATGACTTAATAGCACCAGGTAGAGGCAGGAGAAGACAGCAGGCACTTGTGCTCAGCTCACCAGGCAAAGTGCAGGGACATGGGATAAGCCACAGAGCCAGGACGTCATGCTGGGTGTAAATCCACAAGCAAGGTCACAGCTGTTCTGGGGCACGGACACTCTTTGCTCAGACTAGACAGCTCAGAGCAACAAGCTTATCATGACTGAGGGGACCCTAGTTAGGTCTGGGAGAGGAAAACTCCAGCTCAAGAAAGATAAGGCCCATGTCAGGACTTTCTAGTGTCAGAGAGGAGTTGCAGAGGGATTCAGATTGGCCAGCTGAGACCAGGATAACACCAAGGGGGATCAAAGACCAGATGGGACAAGCAGAACATTTGGTATTAAACACTGAGGTGCCTTGCTGGGATGGCTTGGGACTGGGAGAGTTGGGAGGTGAGAGGGCAGGTGAAGGGGGGAATGGGTGGTAGGTGGGGTGCTTCCTTCCTCTCTCCTAGCTCACCTCAGGTGCTCTAGATTAGAGAAGTTTTGTGACAGAAGAACAGAAAAATAAAATTACTTTTCCTCCAGACTCCTCTAAGGTAAGAGGCAGGATCTGGAGGTGGTTCAGTCGGCGATGGGAGAGGAAGACCGTTAGCATTCAGGCCAGCCCTGAGCGGTTCCCTCCCACCCCACTGCTTTTTCCCATAGGAAGTGCTGAATAGAGAAATGCCCATAATCCCCATGGAGCACTCCAACACGCAGCCCCTCCTGAGCTCGGGACAATGGCTGCGCTCGGAGATAGCTCCCACCCAGCCACAGCTCTTTCCTTCTCTAACCTGCTTTAGCAGCTGAAGGAAACTGAATGGACGTCAGCATCCAGGGAGCAATTTTCTTAAAGGGAATTAGGGGCCAGTGGAAGATCTCTGTTTATCAGATGTGTGGTGGAGCAGACTTCCCTTACCTATCATGTCCCATTCCTCTTCCTCAGCCCGGCCCTAGCGCAGCCCTCTCATAAAGGGAAGCAGGGACTTTGCTCCCTGCTCAGGTCTCAAGCAGTTGCTGACAGATTTGGGGGGGGTGCACAGAGGCTGCATTCAGAAGGCAGGAATCATCTGCCTGTCAATGAGCAGTCAACATCTACGCGTGAGGCGGACAGACAGACACCCTTTAAAGTGGCTGGAAAGGTGTGATCAGTTCTAGGCACCATTGGTCTCGCCCTCAGGCAAACTCCCAAAATGAGAACCGGTGGATCACACTTTAGAATGGCCTGTGGTTCTCTTTGGGCTAGAAAAGGTGTCTGCATGACTGGTTTACATGGGCAGCCACTGCTTGGTGGGCAGCCACAGTCAAGGAGACAACTCCCACTGTACGCACTTGTGCTGCTGGGTCTGCAGTAGTGCCCAAGGTTGGGAGAGCACTGTCTCAGCCCATCTGCCTCCTGGAGCTGCCTCCTTCTGGCTCCTTGTGCAGTCACTGGAGGGAAGAGCTGGGACACGCACAGGGCGCACAGACAGCACAGGGAATAGCTCCAGCCACTTTGGGATTATTTTGCTCACACACTAATTTGCTAATTCCTCACAGGGCAAGAGAATGTCAATGCTCCTCAGTCAGTACCTGGGAACAGATGAGAACCACGGGGTGAAACAAAGAAACAGCTTCACAGCACCACTTTTTGTTTCCCTGACCAGCCTTTCCTATCTGGCACCTGAAACCAGTGAAACCAGTGACTCAAAGCTCTGCAGCCTTTTCTCATCCCCTGTGCTTCTGGAGTCAGATAAGCTGCTTCAGATAAGCTCATTTTGTTTCTTAATCATGAGGCTGGTTAATAGCCACGATGAAGATGTAGCTGTTCCTTAGACACTGGGCCATGACAGATTGGATGCATCTTCTCAGCTGCTCCTTGCCCACCCCTCCATCCCGTGGCATTTCATCAAATGAAGACGGGGGCTGCCTTTGGTGCTCAAGTTGAGTTGATGAGAGGAGAGAAACGGGGGCAAAAAAATAGCAACAACTGTTGACTCAAAACAAATCTGTTGAGAACCATGTCCCTCCCTCCTCTAGGTTGTCCTTCTAAACTCTGGATCAGTACTGAAGACATTTGGGGGTGGGGGGATCAGCCTGGGACAATCCAGCAGGGCTAATTTTGGAAGCTGCCCCATTGTGTGGCTCGTGGACGAGGAGGAGGGAGCTGGTGAGGGCAGGGAGCGGCCCTGGCAGTGGTGGGGAGCCTGGTCGCCTCTTTCTAAGACAAACAATAGCTGAACGCAGCTGGTGCCCTCCCCCTCGCTTTCCCCCTGCCCCTCCAGGGCCGTTTTGAAAGGCAGCGGGAATGCTTTTGAGACTGCGCCAGTGGTTGGACTGGCATAGGAAACAAAAGCAGGAAATTCTGTTCCCCCGTAGATAGTGTCTCGGCAAGGATTACAAAGCTCAAAACAGACAAAACACGAGAGAGAAGTCGAGCTGGGGGGGCTGGGGGACGACGGGCGGGAGCAGGGTTAGAATAGAAAGGAATTTGCTCTGAAGAGACCGTTTATAAATAAATTCCTGGGCCAGCCCAGCCGCCGTGGCGCGTGCTCCAGTTCCCACACGTGCCGACCCCTCCACGCTTCGCCGCTCCTGCTGCTCCCTGCAGCCGGCCCTGGCCAAGTGACCCCGAGGCCCTGCAGCCCCCGGAGGTCTTATCTACGGGCAGGAGGTGAAGCAACGCTGGCCTGACTTAGCCCCTGCCCCGTAGCTCACCCACGGACACGTGCTCTGCTGCTCTTATCCTAAGGGCCTCTGGGAGCCTTTTGTGGATGCCAAACCTAGAAACCCACTCAGCCTTTTCCTCCTCTGTCACCCTATTTCCACCTCCCATTTTGCGGCCTCCTAAACTGATCCTTGTCCAATTCAAGCCCTGCTAAATGAGCATCTCTCAGGGTGAAGAATGGGGATCTCAGTTCCTTGCACTCACCTTGCTCATCTCCTACCATCTTTAGAAGCCAGTGTCCAGACAGTCAGGAGATCTAAAAAAGCATCTAGCCGCCTCTAACTGCCATAAGTTTCAGGGGCACTAAGTCTGTAAAGAGCCAGGTCTTGGCTCCTGAGTGGTTCCTATATTTATAATGAATTCTGTTGATAGTGTGCCCGCTGCAAAACAGAGTATCCCCTCCCAGCCCCCCCTTCCCCCAAAGACTTAATTAAAAATAGAGGAGTGTTTGGTGAAGAGGAGATTTACCTACGGAGTCTATCCGCAGGGCACGCTGGAGATCACTGATGGAGTGCACTGAGCTGCCACCCAAAATCTCATAAATGTCTTCGGGTATGGGGTCCCCCTGCCAGACAACAAAAACAAAAGAAGGGGAGAAACAAGCATTAGAGAGATGATCTGCAAGTCTGGCTGTGTCATGGAGCAGGAGCAGGGAATCAAGCACAGGGAAAACAACAGAACCAGTGAAATGCAAAGATGTGCGTTGTCTTGTGCTGGCTTTGAAACCTTGAGGGCTTTATTCCTCATGAAGACATGAACCTGAAACCTAGGCAAAAGCAAGAGAGACCCTCTTGCTGCCTCTTACAAAGCTGTCAGGACACTAAAAAAGCCCAAAAAGGCTGTGCAGCAGAGCCCTGGACACTATGCAGGCAGCCAGCAAGGCTTCCTTCTCCGGTGGTGTATGACTTCTCCAGGTGGCTTCTCATTCCTGCTGCCTGCAGTAAAGGCGTTTTAACAGACTTCCCTTACACTATCAGATAAAACCTTCCTAATATTTCCCTCCGTTATGAAACTCCTTCACGGGCTTTGTCAGTTATCGTGTGTGTGTGCGTGTGCGAGCGCGTGTGTTTTCAAACCACAGAGGCCCAATAATATACAACATTTGCATACTCTTTTTTAAGGAAAAAAAAAAGGCAGGGGGTGGAGATGAAGATTGACCTTGGCTGCTGAGGCTGCCCCAGCGTGAGCCCGCAGTGAAATGACAAAACCTGCAGGGAGGTGATGGGCTGAGGAGCTGATTTGGAGGAAGAAGCATGTGGGAGTTTGGATGTCATTGCACACCAGCACGAAAAAACCTTAAGTGAGAAGGGGTAGCAACATCAGACGGGGCCAAATACAGAGTTTGAGCAGGCAGGTGCAATGCCATCAGTCTCTTGGGAATTTTACTCTGGCACTAGGCTAGAGCAGGCCCCAGTGACAGCACTTAATAAGAGTACAAAGGAGGGGTGTGGGAAAGCAAGTGCTGATTAAAACATACTTCCGAAAGACTGGAAAAAGAGACAGAGGAGAGGACTGGCCGAAGTGTTTGCTTAGCTCCCAGCTCTCTTCATTCAGGGCTACTCAAGCGGAAAAGCTGCTCTTTCAGCCGGGTGCTGGACGGTGTCTGAGGCACAGCCCTCCACATGTCCCTGTAACTGAGAGGAGAGCTTGGCTTCTGTGCCTGTGAAGCGCAGAGATTTTCCTGCGGGGTTTCATGGACAGTTGGTGGCATGTGTGTGGTCCTCCTACTGTACAGCTATTCCCTCCCTGCCTGCGTTCAGCGCAGAACATGTTCCTTCCATTTGCAGCAGAGAAAAGCCACCAGGCAGGTGGCTAAACGTTGGCTTTAAACCTTGAGGGCTTTGGCTCAAACCTGCAGCCACTTTTGGATGGCTGCTTGAGCCTGGCACTCTCTCACACGTGCCTGTCCTTGGCCACCCACCGTTTGCTTCCATAGTAGGACAACAGGAGTGCTGCCTCCTCAGCCCTGCTAGACCACCCTCTAATACTATAACTTGAACTGGGAGGTAGTGATGTGAAGGTTGCTGCAGCCCAAGGAGGTTCAGAAACCTCCTGAAGAGAGCTGCAGAGCAGACAACACCCATGTCCTAAACCTCTCACAGCCAGATCCACCAGACAGCTTCAGTCAGACTGAGCTTTCCTGCCCCGCTGCATCCCTGTCACTGCCACATCTCACCACAGATCTGGCTGTCTGCCTGCAGCAAAAAGCAGATATTACATCCCCAGGCATTACTTCCTCAGTCTCTGAGGGAGGGGGAAGCAGCATCAGTGATGAATGCACAGCGAGAGAGAGACTTGTATAATTCAGGGATCACTGAATAGCTGTGAAATGAAGATGCCTTCTGACATCTCCTGCTGCGTGAGGAAGAGAGGGACCAACAGCCCGGTGCTGAAGAGGCTCTGCAGCACTTCCCTGCCTTGTGCCACACACATTTACTGGAAGAAGGATGATTTGCAATTCCCAGTACTTGCAGTCAGAGCTCAGCGCTGGGTGGTGAAATTGCAGGCTTTCAATGTTTGCACCTGTCAGCCAAATGCGTTTGTGTACAAATGCTGCTCTGCACGGATGCCTCTGGACCTTCCTGACACTTAATACATGTAGGAAATGGAACTTTATTTTAAACTCTGGCAGTTGCTGGGGGAGAGCGTGGGCAGGTGTTACGAGACTCAGACTCGGTGACTTTGGAAGCGAGCTGGGAGGTGTCACCTTGCTAACTGAGCAGGAGGAACAGATATGAATCAGGGCTTGAAAACGCAGGCCGTCAGGAGCCGTGCTTCTGGTGACTGCCTGTAGCAATAAGCTCCACTCCCTGCTCACGGCAGCAGTTTTAGATGCCAATTTTGTCTTGTTGCAGATACTACCAGCATGACTATGGTGTAACACCAGCCCACACGGCTCATAATCCTGTCCTCCTCCCCCATCACTGTAAGGCAACTCTGCCAGTGACAACTGCAAGCCTGTGAAGCTCCTTACCTTACCCTTGTAAGCCAAGGCCAAGGCTGGCCTAAGAGCAGCGGCAAACCTGAGCTGCATGCCTTGTCCTTGCTCCCTCTGGGGTCTGTCACAGGGAACAGCCATGCCTCCGGCCCCCGCCCCAGCCCTGTGCCTGCGAGGCTCTGAGAGGGAGCGCTGCACACACCCGGGCTGGGGCACTTGTGGGATGAGACACAGGGAAGCAGAGGTCCATCAATCACCTCCACCTAATCCCATGGGGTCAGGAGGTAGAGGAGCATTGGGAGAGGTGGGATCCCCGAGAGACCAGCCCAAGCAGCTGGTGCTTTTCCTGCTCAGCAGCTCCTCTGAGTTATTTGTCTAACACAGGTTAACAATCTCCTTTTTTAACTGCACGGCAGATCAAAGAAGACTTTTGTCTCAATGGACTCTTGGCTGGCTGTCAAGTGCCCCAAGGCCTGGCCTCGTATTCCTGCCAGGCCCTGAATTCTTAGAAGAAAGTTTGCTCTTCCCTCCCTCCTCCTGCTCCCCAGTTCCTGACTCTGACTCTCCCCTGAGTCGCAAGGGCACCCCCCAATCTGCCCATGCCCTGGCAGGGACGTTCACTTCCCTTTCTTGTGCTGCTTGCTGGTGCTTGAGGGGCCAGGGCACATCTGACAAAGGCAGCAGAGCAGCTGCTTGCCTGCACTGTGGCTGTTGCACTGGGGCCTCGCAGCACATCAGCTTTGCTCCCCTCCTGCCAGATGTCCAGCAGCACTGTTTGGTCACTGCAAATAAGTGCAGGTGCAGCAGTTCCCCTGTTCCTGCTCCCCACACATGCACTTTCCCCAAACCTGTCTCCTCCCTAGCCCCACCACCTCTTGCTCTGGAGTTTTTTCCCAGCTTATGCTTTTGAGCACCAGGGATGCTGAAAGATCCCCTTGCCATCAGAAGCTGCCAAGCTGGTGCAGGGAATAGGCAGTGTTGTGGTCTGCACCCTCTGGTGAGGGTTTCTCAGTCTTGCCTGAAGGTGTGACTCCTGCTAGGTACAGAGGAGGAGGAGGGAGCAAAGATTGTGCAACCAGCAGGGAAGGCAGCCACTCAGGGCCCAAAGAAATCAGACAAGGATACTCCCGAGGTGAGGACTCCTCCAGTTCCTTTTTCCAAGCTGGTGTGACTGCACACAGAAGGACAGAATGGTGTCAGCAGCACCAGTTTGTGAAGGGCAGGGAAGCACCCACCTATTCACTCCTCTGCCCAGGAGAGGAGAACTTTCTGAGCACCACCACATCGACCATGGCAAGGGATCTTAGCAGCAGGGTCTAGAGTGATCAGCCAGGCAAAAACCCCAAACAAACAGCATTTTTTAATTCCCTCTGAAGCTGATGTTTGGACCCTGAGGGGAAACTCCACCGCATTCCCTGGCAGAGGGCAAGACCAGCAGCACCTGCCACCAGCACTCCCCCGGCACAGGGCTTCCACCCTTCCAGCAGCACTCCTGGCTACAGGGGCACCCTGACAAACGCCAGCCAGAGCACTCTGCAGCAGGTACAACCCTCTTCACATGAACCCCATCCACTTGGAGTCACGGCTTATGGTTTCCCCCCTTAAAATAATCAAACAAAGCTTGATCTAGTCCATGTTCCTAAAATACTGCCAGACCTACCCACCCTTTTTCCGTTTCAAGGGGGACTCCACTGCTCCTCCACACTCCCCCCACAGCTCCCCTGCGAGGGCTGGAGGCATTTCCACCCCCGGGGCCGGTTGTGTACCCGCAGCACTGGAAGGAGCGCAGGAGCCCTGTCATTCCCTCCTGCTGCTGCACATCAGCTGACAGTGAGAGGGAGGCAAGGACGCTCGCCTGGCTCCTTCCACAAGCTCACTCCAGACGTGTCATCCATCCCAGCTTCCACTGCTTTGTCCTTGTCACTGCCTCGTGCTAGGAAGGCTAGGGAAGACCGCGGGAGCCTTGCAGCAGGAAGATGCAGTGGGGAGCTGGGTCGAGGCTATAAGCAAGCGGCCAGCCGCACCCCATTCCTTGGGAATTCCAGAAAGCACTGCCAGTGGGGCTTCACCCCGGCACAAGCACGGCTGGCTCAGCCCAGCTCTGTAAATGTTGCAAGGCAACTATTACAGCCCCTGGGGCAAATGCAAATGGGTTTAGCATCCTCGCTTCCCAACTGGCAAATACCTTCCCGCTGAGGCTTGTACTCCCTCCGGCTGGAAGAGCTCCAGGGCCCTCCAGCTCCAGATGGGTGTGATCAAAGCGGGAGAGGGACTCAGGAGGCTCCATCTCTTTGCTCAGGGCCTCTGCTGATCTGGGGAGCTAGTGCTCCTCATGCACTTTCTGTGGCATGGCTGGGGAGGAGCTGCAAGCCCCTTTCCGAGGATGACTCTGGTTCAGCAGCCTGGTGGGAGCTGTGTTGTCTGTGCCTGGTGCAGAGGGTGCAACACACTGCCCTCAAAGTAACTGTGAGCACTGGCTGCAGCCTGAAGCATCTACTCAAGCAGAAACGTTCTTGCTTCTCCTGTCATGCAGTGACAAATATCACAATTCCTCCCATGAAACCTCGGGCCAGAATTACCAAACTCTAACTCTTCTAGGCTGTCATAGAGCTGTGCAGTATTTCAATCTGATTATGGCAACTGAGGAACAGCTCCTTGGGATCAGACACTTCCATCTTCACCCTTCCCCAGTGCCAACCCTAGCAGATGTTTCATGCTGCATGGGAGAAAGAGGTCTGTGCCATCCACAGAGGAAATACCATCCTCTGCCCGAAACAAGCCTGACCAGAGCTGGGTAGCCCACAGCTCAAACTGCTTCCTTTTGTGGCTGGGGCAAGGGCAAAATGGGCCCACAGCGAGGTGACGTGATGCTCTGCACCCAACCTCCTCCTTGCCATCTCACCAGGGGTACACCCACTTACCCTGCCCAAAAATGAGGAAGGAAAAGAGAAAAATGATGCAAAGAAGGGAAAGTTTTGGTGGAAGGATATTTCCTGCCCCTGACAATCAAGCTGCAGATCCAACCCACAGTTTTGCCATCTTGGGTAGAGCTAAAGTGGGAACCGAGTGCTGTGTGGGAATGTCAGGGGCTTTCTGATCCCCTCAATCTGCATGCAATCCGATGATGAAATGTGACAGCAGAGGCCAAAGGATTTGGGAGTTTGGGGCTCTTTTTCCTCAGTCAGGGCTGGGGATGAGGCTTCAATTTCCACATAGGGAAACCAAAGTGGGTTGGGGTGTTTGTTCAAATCCACCACCCAGCCCTTACCCTCTGCTCAGCTTCTTCCTGAGCAGCACATTCGGGACTGCTGGGCACGATGCTTGTGTGACTGTGGAAGCCCAGCAGACACCCACCTCCTGCCCCTACCCCCAGCCGGGCACACACCTTGCTGAATAACCCTGCCACTAGGTGTTGGTGCCGAGCCTCTGCTCACACGGTCCCCTTGCTTCCACTTTCCAAAGCCCCACGCCCTTTCTCCACTGCCCGCCTGACAATGCCAGGGTGGATTTCACACTGTGCGTTATTCCAGAGGCGTCAAGAGGGCCCCGGTCCCTGCTGTACCCGCACTGCCATGGCGCCAAAATCGCGGGGTGGGGTGAGAGGCTGGAAGGAGGGTACCCACCCCGGGGTGACAACCCTGGGCGAGGCAGGGCAGGAAGCTGCGGGTTCCCCGGGGCTCACCAGCAGCATCCCTGCTCCCACATTAACGGGGGCCGCTTCAGCCTGCTCCCCCTGCCCCTGCCGCCGGGGACAGACACGGAGGTGGGTGGATTCCCAGGCGAGCCCCCCT